CTTAGACAATTGCATGCGGACAGATAGTACCACTGTTCTTCGGTGACTTAAATCATGTAATAAATTACCCGTTTTTGTTGGTAATTTTTTTGGTGTGATTCTGTAGTCTACAACCAGTGATCAGTAGCATGACACTGGTAACCGAGAGATTTCTTCGAAATCCCTCACGGAAAGCAGCTGGGTTAATGGCCCTAGTAAGCTGAGGACGACTGATTGGCCGTTGAAGCCGGATACAAGAATCATCGATAAGATAAAACTAAAAAGACTCACGTAATTTCGACATTTGTCTTGAAAAGACGTCACATTTTGTCATCGATGTTTTGACAGACAAAAAAATTTCCATTCGGAGTATGGGAGAGATTTCTGTCAATCGTACATTAGAAATTACCGACCCTAGTGAGTTGGGCGTTGCTGAGCAGAAACCTATTTCCTGTCCCAGTGTGAGAAATTCTCTAGCGAGCGATAACTACTAAGTTCCGGTAAAGTTATCGCAAGAAATAGTCGGTTCGCCAAGTATTCGCCGTTCATTTGACCAACTGGCATCCTTCGCTTGACTGGGTGCATCAGCCGTTTGGTTAAAAACGATTTCGGTAGGCAGCATCCAATTATATTTGATGGACGTCACACGATTGTTCGGTTATTGGACGTTACGAACTTCCACCAAGGCTTGGATTAAATGCATGCGGTTGTTAATTTGAAATACGTTGGTTAAATTTGCGCTGGCTGCTGTGAAGTTTTGAAAATAAGTGATTAACGTGCAGAAAACAAGCAAAGCGAAAACCGCCACTCCTATCATGTCTTATCTCCTGATTAAAGGTTACAAACTCCTTTCTATAACACAACTATCGACTACTTTCATCTTGACACATTTCTCGGCCTTTTCTATCTCCAATCCTCAGAAGTACGGATAAAAGATGGGGGTTTTTTGTTCACCTGCTCCACCACTAGAGCGGTACTCATTGAGGTGGTCCCCTCTCTCGACACAAATTCTTGTTTTATCTGCGTGGAGAGGTTTATTGCACGTCGTGGTACTCCACCTATCATCATGCGCGACAAGGGCAATATTTTGTTGGCGCTCAGAAAGAGCTCATAGCTGGCGTTGAGAGTTAGAAAAAGCTCGGGGCCGCTGTGTTTGTCCAGAAAGTGATCATGTGGAAATGGCGACTCCGGGGTGCTATGTGTTCGAAGGGTTAAGCATGTACCGTAAGACATCTTAGGCCACAGAAGAGTAACTGAGGAGGTTCGAGAAACCACAGTTCGCCTTCTTGTGCATTCACTAAAAGCAAAACCGATAACAGCCGTTAGTTGCAACCCGCAAGATTTAGAAACGTTGACACCGAATCATTTGAAGTTTGGCCAACACGCAGCGAGTTTTTCGTTGCTAAGTTTCGAAGAAAACTTCGATCATAAGAAGCGGTACGCTAGAGCGCAATCATACGCTAACGCAACATGGACACTTAGATGCCGGAATACGTTTCTTCCCTCAATAGGAGTGCAAAGTGGCACAATCAATCAGACGTTAAGTTGAAAGCCGGCGATATGGATTGGGTCATAGAGCCTGACAGTCCACGTGTACTTTACCCAATCGCACGTATCGTTAGACTGCACTGCGACAAGGACGGTTGCGCGAGATTTGCCGGCATGAAGACCGTTACGAGCGAACTGACCCGCCCGACCGTAAAGCTCGCTCCCGTCCTTCTTTCTTTGGGGGCGGAGGATGTTACAAGGCAAACGTAACCAGAGTATGAAAGCATTTATGTAACTGCATATAACAGGAATATAGCCTAAGGTATGTGACAACGGCCGAATGCGGGGTAGTTTCTAACCAAGAAATCATAATACCGATTTGAAATTATCGAGTCCCTAGCTCCGATTATGTCTTGCAAAGTTTTAGGAGTTTTGGATGTTTCAAAATTGCCAATTAGGCTATATTCTGGACTATTTTATGCGCGTTTTAAAGATTTTATCCGTAATGCTGAAAACTTAGTGCCAATTATTGATGCGTCGCGGATTATCTCGCTCATTGAAATCGTTCCAAATCGAATTGAGGCTAGATTATCGGTCGTATCAACCTCGTAATGTATCAACTCAGAATGTATCACCTGATCTTTGATCTAGTCAAAATTTGTAGTTTTGCAATATTTCTTTTCACAAAACCTATTCGACTATTCGATTTGGATTAAGGGGCAGTCAGAGCATTCAGGGCTTTACCCTGATATACAAGCAGGCTTGACATCATCTGAATTGTTCCTCTCTTGTAAAAGCATTTAGGTCTTATCAAGAGCCGATGTTGAATTTACTATCCAAAATTAAGAAATTGGTTAGAGCACAAGTGTTTCGCTATTTTCTTCGAAGCTTCACGCAAAGTAAGAGAACTATGAGAACAATTGAAGGTTGCGTGAATTTTTGAAGTCCTACTGTGACTCACAAAGAATACAAAAATGTGTGATTAAGATCATTATTAACAGATATTTCTCTCAACATGAAAGAGAAAAATTTGACGACCGACGCGAACAAATTGCTTAATCATGTAATATAATTCCATTGTTAAAACAAATGGAAAAACTGGCCAATTGAAAAATAAACTACACATACAAACCGAAGCCGTAATCGAAGTGATGGGAGATACATTTTAATAGGGGAAAAATTGTATTGATTAAATTGCCGAAAGTTATTCATGTGAGTTCCCGCACAGACGTTTCATGGATAATAATAGATTTTATTGGATTTTCATTGTCAGTCTCTACAAAATAACAAAAATAATCTATTATAATGGAGTATAATGGATTTAAATTTTTCCAAAATAATCGATTATAATCGATTAAAAATCGATTACGTGGTCCAAAATTTGACATAATAATCGATTAAATAGACAACATTTTAGTCAACGAAAATTTCGGTGCGGGTTAAGCTAAAGCAATAGTTCAAATCATGACCCATACAGAATTAAAACAAAAATACAGATATGCCCAGTGTTGATCTATTTGTTGTGAGTTGCATATATCTGCCCTGAATTGGAACATACATGTTCAGACCTGGATGATGCAAAAAATTAATGTTAGAAAAATAAAAATAAATATCCAGAAACATACAAATGTTAGTGAAATTGATTACGGACGGTGAAGTATCTTATATTAAATCCAGAAACTGACCTGGGCAGGATTTTCATGTGATTCGGAGTTTTCACCATATACCTCTCGGTTTCTTTTATTGTATTCCTGAAAAAAAACTGCAGCTATAAATTTACAAAAAAGTGTTCAACATTTCATGATCGTGTCATAGCGCTTTTTAAAAAGTTTTTAAACTGTTTCGGCAAATAGTCAAAATTAACTATTCAAAGTTATAAGCTATAGCCTTAGTAACGTTCAATAAATCAGAGGCGGACTTAAATGAGGAAACCACCCTAGGATATTCGAACGCCCGCTATTCGAACCCCCGCTTTGATACTATTTTGCGACATACATGATTGGTGGGTCTAGGCGACAGGCCAGCGAAACTTCAAGCCGAAGGGACCCCGGGTTGACAAAAAATGCTTATCATACAATTCCATACTAAGGAAAAAATTATTATCATATAAATCTATTTAATTCCATACAATTTTTGAAAAAAAAAACTGATTAAATTACCTTGATAAGCATTATTTGTTAACAATGGAATTATATGACAAGTTTTTTCCCACGTATCAGTTTTTTCGTGCGTTTCGCCCTGACAACAAAACCAAGGGTTTTCTCAAATGAGCAAACTAACAGGTTATTTGGCACTGAAATCGCACATGAAACTACGTATTGCTAGATGCCAAGTCAAATAAAATTTGAATATCACTCAAAATTATAACAGTAAAATATCTTTTTTGTTGAAAGCTACGAGGCCTCTGATTCAAAAAATTGAGAGGTTAAAAATCCTGGCCGATTTTTTGGACATATTTAGGTTATATGTTATTATCTAAGGCTGAAAAGTTCAAATTCTGCCATCAGAGATATTCATCAAGGTGACCTTTGATTCTTCCTTGTAACAAGATACTAGACTACGTTTTAAGCAAAAGTTTGAAAATTTTGCTTGCGAAAAAAAAATTTTGAAATTTATTTTTGATCGCAGAACTGGTTTGCGACTTAACTCTGATTTTAAATGAACTTTTCCTCAGTTTTGGAATTTTTGCTTTAAAAATATTATTCATACAGTTTTTATAAATGAAAATTATATGAAAAGCGTTTTTTTGTCCAAAAAATGAAAATTTTGTTTGCGAATATGTTCTCATTCATTTAAATTTAATTTAATTTGTCCCTATTTTTTCCATTCGGCTTGAATTTACGTCAACTTGATGTCCGGCAATCATGATTGGTCCAACAGCCATATTTTTTTTCTAGAGCCGCCTTAGGCGCCAATAGTTACTACCTTTGAGGGAAAGCGCGCGCTACAAAAAAGCACAACTTGGATAATAGAAACATTAAAGAAAGGTCAAATTGCTTTTTTATCACAAATTTGTCTCAACAAAAATTTTGGAAAGACTTTGACCGGCTTTCAGAAGTTGATAATCTATCTTTCTTATAAACTTGATGGCTACTAGAGCATTCAAAAAATGGAACAAAGTAAGCATCCTCCCAATCCAACCTCCCAACCACACAAAGCTGTTTAGGGGAGAGGATGTTAATTTGGTTCTGAGCTTCGAACTTTTGGCCAATCAGAATAGAGCAATTTACATGCAGCGCTGACTAAATTTAACTTAGGATCTTAACTCAATCTGGGGGGGGGGGGGGGGGGGGGGGGGAAGATGTTAATTTCATTCAAAAAAATTTAAAATTTTTGAAGGACAGGTATACAAAAATCAAATGCAAGCCTTCCAAAAATATTTTGCCAAAACAGTTTTTTCCACCACATCTTATATAAAATTAATTGTTTTTTTTTGTGGATGGAATAACAAAATAATGATTATTGTGAGATATTACTCGTTGTATATGTCGGTTATTCTGTTGTTTTCTTTGATTTCAATCCTTTTATGGACACAGCAGTAGACCACGGTCAGACCTATGGTCACAAAAAGTGTGACCCCTGCCATCACTGCAATCAGCCAGAGCCAGTTTGAACTGAAATTAAATCTAAAATTGGATACATATTTTGACACTACTCCTCTTTTGGATCAAATTAATCTTTTCACCCCACAGTTAACTGAATTCCAAAACGGTATTTTAAAGCAACCAGAATTGAGCATTCTACAGAAATTTATTTCTAATTGAATAATAGGGAGTGGATAGCGGTATAACTGTATGTGTTGACGTCTTAAAAATGAGCATGTGTTGATGGGTAAAATCCTCACAATTGGAGACCAAATGACTCTAACGGTCAATTATGATTTTTTGCGAAACAAATAGTTTCAGTTCAGAATTATGAGCCCCTTTTTATACGACCCAAATTTACCGAATAAAAATTGAGATTTTGTCTGAAATTTTATTTCAAAATTGCTGTGTTGATAATGAATTTACACCAATCAGATTAAAATTTTGTGATCATATTTCTAATGTTTGCAAAAAATCTATTCTCGGGCTGTATTTTGGAACAGTCCAAAACTATAGTTATGATTTTGAGGGAGAATGAACAAATTTAAATTTTACTTAAAAATCAATAGTTTTTGTTCTCTGGAAAAAATTATAAATTCCAATCTCATTAACTTTTTTGATGACGTTCTGAATTTTAGTTCTTCTAAGTTCATATCGAATACTCATCTAAATGATTTTCCACACTCACAATTTGTGAAATGGTGTACACGTTGAAATTATATATGCAATTTAAAAGAGTAGTTTAATTTTAGTTTTTCCAATTCAAATTAGCATAGTATAATTTAGTAAAATTGCTGTAGAGAAAAATATATATATTTTTCAAAACGTCTCGAAAGAAAAAAGTTTTAAAATGAAAAGTCTTAAGGGTGATGTTTGCATCTGTTAAAATTTCAAAAAATCGACTACAAAAATCACTTGTTGTTTTGACCACTTCATAAAGTGGAAAGGAATAATGGCGTAGCCCGGGTTGCCCACCATAGAAGATAATGCGCAACCATGCACATACATGCATGATTTGTATGGAATATGACTAATCATGCTTAGCACATACGTTGGTTATTACCTTTCCTCAACGGAAATTGACTTCTGGAAAGAAAACCAGTGAAAGCTTGCCTAGGATATCACCGTAAATGCCTTTCAACTGCAAAACAGATTCAAAAAGGTTCCAAAAAGTTGTGATAGTGTCGAGACAAAGTGTTCTGGTTTTTCTAATTTTCAAAATAGTAATTTTTTTAGTTTAAAAATTCAGATTGAATTTCCGAACTAAATCTTCTGTATTTTTTTTTCATTTTTTGATCAATTTTTAACTGATTCTTACGGTTTATTATAAAACTCAATCTTCACTCAATTTCTATAAAACAAACAACAAAAAGTGATCCTTATTAGTACAGAATTTTTTGATCTGTTTTAATAATTTCAAACAGCGAATTGCGTAATTGAAAATTCTTGGCATCAAGTTTGCTTGAATTTCAATTTTCTGGTTGCACGGCGGTTCTGAAAAATTGAAGTAAAAATTTTGTTGTTTCTGTAATACAGCAGAGTTAGTAAAATTTATAGCTTAGAAACTAACCCGGCTTCAACCATCTCATCAACAAATTGGTCCCTCCATGTATCAGCCTGAAACAAAAACAAAACGGTTTGATTTTTACTAACGCTTCAGCCACAATGTCCACTTTGAACACTTTTAAAACTGTATTTATTAATCATTAATCTAAAATTCCTGTATTTTCTTTTGCATAAATTGAAATAGTATGCTTACAACTTTCATTTTGTATAATACTAAAATTGAGACAGTGAAAAACTGCAACCTCTAAACCCAGACCAATATGCAAGTTAATTGAATGGTCAAATGGGTTTTTAGGCCAATACAACAGCCGAGCAACAGATGGAACAAAACTGCTGTAACTATGGCAAAGCCATGAGTGTTCGGACTATTTTTGTACACGATGCTGACTTCAGCAGAGAACTGATTGTTATTTAAAATCTATTTCCATAGTGTTCAAAGTCTACAAGGATGCTTTGATTTGAAATCATTTCATCAACAATACCTTTCGAATGATATAAAATTTTTTGTCATAAATGGCTAGTTAAAAAGTCGAAATTTGTCTGTAGAAAAAAAACTACCACGAGCACAAATATTCCGTTACTTTCGTATCGAAAGTCGGAACAAAAACAAACCAAGACTGCTCGTATCAGGGCGAAGCCCTGAATGTTCCGACTGCCTTTTAGGGTCTAATGGAGCAGTAATAGCATTAAAAAACTAATTGTCCCAAATTGGCCAGGATGGCAATCTTTAAACCCCCATTACTTTACGAAAAAAAATCACAGGTGAAATATGTTTTCATTTCTAAGCTCAGGACGACAACAACTTTTGAGTGAGTTAGAAAAAAATTTCGTCTAAAATGGCTAATTAAAAAGTTGACATTTGTCTGAAGAAAAAAAAGCCACCCGAGCACAAATATTCCGTTCTTTTTGTTACGAAAGTCGGAACAAAAACTCTATTGTGCTAAAATTAAAAACTAATTGAAATGTTACAGAGAGAAAAACCGTCTATAGAAAATGACAATAGTCATGACAATATTTGTGTTTTGTAAGTTTTAAGCAAAAAATGTTCAGCACTGCACTGTCTATTGTTTTCTGATCTTGTTGGGTCCAATTGAAAATTTTTTGAAAAGATTATGTAAAACTTTTTTACATTTTACTGCAGTTAAATTTTGATGGCTTATTAAAAATGTAGGTAAGTTTTTAAATACAAGAATACGTTCCAAAAATAACTTTTGTCAACAAAATCTATTAATAAAAGCCATTTCATGTAGAAATGAGAACCGTATTTTTTTTATGGGTTTTTACTTTGAAGTCTTTTTTATGCATTGATTAAAATTGATTGAAAGTTGGATAGAAGCCATGGATATGATGTTTTTTTGTCCCCAAGCTTACAGTGCTGATTTAAATTATCCGGAAAAAAAGAACAAAACTTGATTTTTCAATCCCGTTTTTCTCCAATTGAAGCCTCTTACACAGCCCAACCGAGCTTAAGAAGGGTTAAATCTCCAAAAGTGTGCACAAATTCTTTAAAATTTGTCTTTAAACAAAGGTTCTGGGTTTTATATAGTAAAAATCACATTTATTGACTATAAAAAAAAATTTTCTCCTGTACTAATTTTTGGACATTTAACCCTTCTTAAACTTTGTTGGGCTGTGCAAGAGGCTTCTTGTGATATAATTTTCTTATCAATTAACAAAATAGTTTCAGCGTAATTTTTGATTTTTTGGAAAAAACCAAAGTGACCCATTTTTGGGGTAAAATTTTGGTTGAGAATTTCGGAGAAAAATTTTTCCAGCCGCCCTTTTGTCAATTTTGAGGAAACTCTAAGTAACTTTTGTTCTCTTCATTTTTATCTAATCTTAACCCATTTTGAAAAAAAACGTTCGTTTTGTCCGGGTAATTTAAATCAGCACTGTACAAAGAGAAATTTTATATCCAATCTGAAAGGTATTCTATCTTTCGTGATATCTTTCATAAGTTCATTTGAAATAGAAATAGAAGAAAATAGTTTTCATTGCAATTAAATGGAGAACTAGAGACAACTAATGAGGAAAAGTTTATACTCTGTTATAACATAAAAACTAGCCTGAACTGGCGATGCCAATTAGATTATATAACAGATATTTACATTAAAAAACTTTTCACAAAGCTTTCATTACGAGCCCAAACTTCATTTTGTGCATTGTAAGCAGATTCCGCAACAAGGATGCTCCCTTCTTTTGTTCTTTCATTTTTTTGATCATTCCAACAAAATTTTAACACGTTTAAAAGCTTGTCTCTGGAACATACAGACACAAAATTGTGCGCCTATCCAGTGCACAGTTTGGCCTCGTAATCTTTTTTAAAATAAATTGACGAGAAAAATGTTTTTTTTTTTTGGGGGGGGGGGGGGGGGGAATGTACATCCTAGTAAATAGTTTTTTTTTGCGATTACATGGAGAAAACCCCATATTGATGGAAAAAGAATGCGATATAATGAAGGCAATTTCTCAATTTTTCTGTATTCTTGTAGGAAATGTAGTCAAATTGGTGATAATTAGTTTTTAAAAAATCACATTTTCGTCAAGAGTTTTGGCCGGTTTTTTACCATTTTTAGTAAAAAGTTGTCTCTTGCATGTCTCGAACGATGCTAAATGATCTAAAATTTTCATTTGGAGAGTCAAAGATACAAAAGCATTCAATAATTGTAAGACAAAAACAAGAGAACGAATTATTTTTCCTGGTAGTTTAAGGAAGTGAACGTAAATGAAGCTCTCATTAAAATGATGTATTAGCTAAGAACACATGTGCTTATTAATTAAATATGGAAAAAACGATTACTGTTGGACCACTTATATACATAGTGTTTGTGCCACGAAAATGCAAGGAACTGTAATTTTGCAAATAGTTTTACCGTTGGGTTCATAATTATAATTTTGTACAAATCAGTTTTTTACTGATTTTAAAAAAAAAAACGAAGACTATCCATTTATGTACCATTTTTTGCAAATTTGTTGACATGCTACTCTTGGACTCACTCATATTTTTGATTGGAATAATTCGACATAGGCTTAGCTGGTTACATAAACCAAAGCAACGTGCTACGCTCTTCAAACTGCTCATAGAAGTCTCGATCGGTTGTCGTTTTAGAAACTCAAAATCAAAGTAATCATAGTTTCCATTAAATTATTTGAGAACACCAAACTTAAAACAGAGCCGGCAACACAAAATATTATATGTCAGATTTACAAAAATGACTAATAAATTGAAACAAAACCTATGATCTGTAATGTATCTATCACTGTGACCAGAATGAAAAAATAATGAAATATTTAAAACGATCATCTGAAAAAGCAAATATGGGTTTCGAGTGTTACTAATACAATGTTTGAAAAATTTATGGTGTATTAAGGGTGCTATATAAGCAAACCGACAAGAAATTCAGACGACATGACATTAAAACGACAAATGAGGGCTGACACATGTAAATTGAACATTAAGCGTTCGACATTAAGCGAATTTTACTTCTCAGATATACAACTGGAGAATTAGCGACGTTAAGCGAATTTTACTTCTCAGATATACAACTGGAGAATTTGCGTGTAGCGTCGTATTTAAGCCCAATAAAAGCAATTGTCCTCTTAACAGCTGATGTTTATTTGCCGGGCAGGACTTTCTATCGAATTTTCAAAAATATGGTCTACATTTGCTTGAGAAGTGCGAAGAACATATGAAAAAAAACAAGTATTATAAAAATGAACCAGTGTTTTACATGAAGGTTACTACTTTTTTTTCTGCCAATTACAAATCAACCATATCGTTAAACAGCACATAGAGCGCTTTTTATTTCAGTCTAGAGGGAAAATGGCAGCGCAACTCGGGGCAAGAACTACAGAAGAACTCAATTTTCTTTAAAATGAACAGAATACTTTCATACTGGCACTTTCCATTTTTGCTCTTTTCTGTTCCGATTTTCCAAAAATTCAAGGAATATATATGCTTGGGGTATATTTTTTATTCGGATCAATTGTCAAAATATTTCCTTTGGGGGATCGATCCATGAGCTTGATCAACACTATACTTTCTGGCCTGCAAGATATCTGTGAAGCACTCATTAAATGACTAACGACTAAAAGAGCGCTGTGATATTTTAATGCTGAAAACTTAACGCGCAATATTTATTCGGGCCAACTTATCCCGCACCTCAAAATTTTCCAAAATCAATTGAGGCAGGCTAATTGGCCTTTCAATTCTATAACGATTCTTATAGTATTCAGCTTAAAATTCATAGTTTGCAAATATTTCTTGAAGCAAAAATATTGCGAGACCAATTTATGGGCAGTCGGAACATTCAGGGCTTTACCCTGAGACCAATTTATGGGCAGTCGGAACTATATGGGCTTTACCCTGATATGAGCAATTTTGTTTTTTATACACTTGAAATTTTAAATACGTTGCAAAAGCACTGCAAAACCTAACTTCTTTATATCTATTTGTAGAATTACTTATGAAATGGATAAATCACAATTGCTTAAAAAGATAATTTTTCTCTTAAACTAACACAAAATTTTTTTGATACTAACCGCTTTATTGGATGCAAAATTCAAATTATGTTTAGGCAAGGCTTGTAAAATCTAAGCTATCTCTTTCAAAAGTCATGTCAATTTGATTTCAAACAAATTAGTTGTTTTAGATAATTGTGTACAAAAAGGTGTTCAAAGCATCCTTTGGGATTGAATAATCAAGCATGGAATAATGGAGAATGGTCCGCGTTTTACTGATGCCGGTGGCTAAAGTGAAGTAATGATTGAAAAGAACAGCCGGGGGCATTTGTATTGCTGCGCTAGAGGTGAAATGCTTGGATCGTGGCAATACAAACTACTGCGAAATCATTTACCAAGAATATTTTCATTAATCAAGAACGAAAGTAAGAGTATTGAAGAGGATTAGATACCCTCGTAATTCTAACTACAAACTATACCAACTTACGACTTGGCAAGAAATTTTTCTGGTGCTATTTTCTGTAATTTTCTCTACTCTGGTTAAAACTCTGCGGAATTTTTGAAATAAGAAAGAAACTTTTAACAAACAACCTAACTTTTAAGCTTATTCGTCTAACTTATAAGTCAAATCAAAATTGTGAATAAAACAATTTGGATTGGTGCTAAATAATGATTGGTTAAGTCTAGATAATCAGATTTAAGCAAAATAGTTCCAGTTCAAGATTTTAAAATATTGATTTTGGGCGGAATAAGTAAAAATACTCCATGATTAAGAGTGTGTTTAATTTCAGATACTTTTTGAAAGTTTTTATTTTCTGGAGGAACAGTATATTTTTGGTTTTATTACAATATCAAACAATGAACATCTGCACGTCGAAAGAAAAAACCGTGAGATGTCCAGTCTTCCAATGGACTTTTATCGGTCAAAATGTTTAGAGCCATTTTGATTTTTTTAGGGTTCATATAAACGGAATTTTATTTTTCCGAAACTAATGCAACAACTGTTAATAAAAAATGGACGAGACAATTTTTGCCATCGAATATCTAAGAGATCAAAATCAATAAGGCAATTGATTTCTTTTGACTCCAAACAAAATATTAGTTAGCTTGTATGCTATTTTAAGCTTGAACGCATAAATTCAAGACAGGCTGGCTGGAAAGGCAGAGAAAACTGAAAAAAATCTCTTTTCAATCGAGTTTGATAGTTTACGGTTAGCCTATCAGTTTTCAGGCCAATCATTCCAGTTCTATGAAGAGCCGATATACGAGCAGGTCTGTTTGTATAAAAAAAGAAGGCTTTTCTTTCGATCAAAGAATTATTTTTACATCGCTGATTAAAAAATTTATACATGGTGCCCCCCCCAAAAACAAAATCCCAACTGGATTATTTCGACAACTATTTAGTCTATTTTCTTGAAATTATGCTCTCATACCTAGCATACCAAAACACACAATTTGTGTGGTGGCCGATAAATTTTTTGTCCAAAATGGAAAAAAACACCTTCTTTCATTCTAACAAAAAGTTTTCACGAAGAATTCGTTTAAACGTTCATTCAGAGAAAGCTTGGAAACCAGACAAAAAATTTATGAACTTGTAGATGTTTTTGAGAGTCTTTTTCATACTCCAGTTTCCTGTCGCTCAGCTTGTGCGCCATTTCGTTGCACACATCATCTAGCTCGTTCTTTCATTTTTTACATCACGAAACCTTTTTCCTTAGCATTTTTCTTTCATTTTTCATCACCGCAACTTCTTGAATTATTTTTTTTCAGGTCAACTAATGTCGCCAAACAAGCTTCTTTGCAGACTATATTTGCATAATTTTTGTCTATTTTTGGTCTCCTGGAGTTACTTTTATTCAGATTTTGACTAGTGCCTTTTTCTGGAGATCTGTTTGGGGGAACGATTTGGGAAGTTAAGAGTGAATTGAAGAATAGTCTCAACATTTTGTACTAGCAAACGTTAAAACAATAAAATTTTACTGCTCGGTTGTAAGCTGCATTGTTTTTACAAGTGAGAAGCATGAGCAACTCAATGCAGTTCGACACTTTGAGGAGTCAAATATTGCGATAACTTTTTGTTCACACGTGTTTCAGCATTCTCATTTTCAGAAAATCTGTGTCTTAGGCTGTTAAATATTAGTCCCAACTTTCAAGAAAGTTTGTCAAGTAATTAAAACGTAACTACAATTGTGATTTTTTTGGGACAACCTGTACACTTTTTTCGGAATGAAGTTGCTTCTCGAAATGACTGAGACAAAAGTTTCGCACTCAGTTGTCCAATTATAATTTTTGAATTTAAGCAATGAATTCAAGCAATGCCAACTTTTTTTTTGATGTAATTACCGGTTACTTTAAACAAAACCCAACTTTTTTTGCAATTATTAATTGTTTTTAGTAAAAAAAATGAATATGATAATATGGCCGATACTGACTATCAACATCTAAATAGAAGTTTTATTCGGTTTCCATAAAAATTTTGGTAGTTTTAAAACATCATACTATAATTGGTTCAGAAAAGGGCTTCATTTTTATGCGTGATCTACCTATATTGTTACTTAAAAAAATGCGTTTCAAATTTCTTCTATTATAATAACAATCGTAAAACTGTACATATATGAGTATATGTATATCAGAAGTTTTAGTGGCCAAAAATTTCAAAGTTTGAAATATACTGTTGATAAAGAAGGCAAAAAAGTGGCAAACATGAAAATTAATGATTTTTGCGTTTCGGTATCAGTTTCTTATACATTAGCTTGGTTATCATTAATCTGTACGGCTTAATTTGTTTAGAGTTTAATTTTTTTAATGTAGTTGAGTTGTTTTTTAATTCTTTTTTATTAAAGTTGAGTGTGCTGAGTGATTGATTGAGCAAAGCAATCGAATATGAACAAGACTGCTTATATCAGGGCGAAGCTTTGATTGTTCTGTCTGCCTTTTAATGTCTATGGAAAAGTAATAACATGAAACAATTACATGAAATTAGGAAAAAAAATAATTTTGAGATTTTTATGAAAATCATACCCCCACGCGTTATATTAAGTTAAAAGTGAAACATTTCGCTCCTAATAACAAATCAATTATGGCAAATTGGAACGAATTATAAGACGGATTAAATCTCCGCTGACACGTTAATAGTGCGAAAAACTTCGCGCTTTAATTGCCATAAATTGGCCGTTGTTAAACCCTCATAAATTCACGAAAAAAAAATCACAGGTGAAATATCATTTTAAAGTTAAACGTAGAACAACAATACGTTTTCAGATGATAAAAAAATTTCCGTCAAAAATGGCTATATTTTTTAAAAAGTCAAACTTTGTCTGTAGAAGAAAAACTGCACCAAGGACAAATATTCCGTTATTTTCGTGAGAAAAGTCGGAGCAAAAAAACACCCCGAGCACAAATATTCCTGGTCACGAATATAATTTGATATATGAGATCAGGAACCGAGCACCAATTGGCTACTCCAGTGGCGGATTTAGGGGGGGGGGGAAGCTTCTTTGTTACTTTTTAGCGTCTTTGGTCCCCCTTTGGTACTTTTTAAGAAATCCATTTTTGGCCGACCGACCCTAAAATTTTTCTAAAGGCGCCTTCGACGCCAATATATACTAATTTTGAGGGGGGAGCGCGCGCCGAAAAAATGCGATTTCTTGGTCAACATTTTCCAAAAAGTTCCTAAAAACGCCTTTTTTGGACTGTTTTCTCAACTTTTGCCTGCGGCGCAGAAAAATTGGCCGAAACAAGGACTAAACCGTGCTTAGGGAGAGCTCAAAAAAGCAATTCAGTCGACCTGAAAAATAAAAGCCACAAAACTTTTCAAATTTTTTTGAAAATCCGCCCCCTCGAGAAAATCGTAGATCCGCCCCTGGGCTACTCTATTACTTTTTAATGAAACAACACGCGTCAAAAATGTTTTTGTTTTTTAAGAGTGACATTTTGTGTCTACATTTTGCAAAAATTAATAACTAAACCGTATCAGTTGAGTATCTCTGTTTGCTTTTGGCTTCATTATTTTATGTGTCAAATCAACTTGCTTTGGAATTTTACATAGAAAACATTTGAGCGTTCAACTGATAGACGGAATCTATAGCAATTAATTTATTATCCGAGCTATTTTGCGACTGCTCGACTTAAGTTTTGACTATAATATGCTTCAATAGTGCTCGGCATGTTTCGACTGAGCTGAAGTTATCTTTTGACTTTCTTGGCCAAAACTGCGTGTGCTTGGTTTCTGCGCTTTATAATGGCTTGTCGACAGCCGAAAATTTTCACCCAAAAACCTGCACCTGCTCAACTCTCAACTTTGAATTCGAAACGCAAGCCAAGCACTTCAAACCGGGCACCGCTGAGCGTTTGCGACTTCTTGGTAATTGTCAATGTCGTACTCACATCAATAGTTGACATGTTCATTGTGAGGTCAAATGTGCATATTGAGCAGTTGGCAGATGTGTTGAAGAGCTCCAGACTCAAAGTGACCAGTCCTTGAGTGACATTAGTGGAATTAGATCCAGAATGAACAGTCTCATTGGAAACGCCAGAAAGAGATCTCCGTTTTCTTTTTCCATCCACTGCTACATTACAAAATAAAATTGATATTAGTGTTAACTCAAATTTATACGAAAAACAGCTTAAATGAACGAAGAAAGCAGAAAATTGGAATATATCCTAAAATACATGATTTGATGATATAATCAGTCTTAAAAATTCTAGTTCAAAGCATCCCAGTCTCAAGAAAAGTTCGATAAACCCAATTAAAAAAACATCTTAAGAAAATCAAGTTTTTTAATAAAAGAAGTTGCGGTGAGCACTAATGTGCTAATTTCGCAACAGCAATAGGCGGATCTTTTTCCCCGACCCAGATAACCGACACTTTTCTGGTTTAACGAGTGGTTTTATAAAATTCGTTTATGCAGACCAAAAATATTTAGAACGGCTCAATTAGTCAATTTGCTTATTTATATAATTATGGATGTGGTGCCAAATTTTATAATTATGGGACCTTGTAAAAAATGCAAGTCAAAACTGGCAGCAGGGTCGAAATTTAAAGGGATTTTTTAGCTTTATTTCAAGCGTTATTTTGGCGTCGGAAAGTTTGGTTGATACTTACTGTAATCAAATAAGCAACAATGTATATCTCACTCACATGAAGGAAGCAGCGGATTATTACTGGAAGAGGTTGTGATACTTTTGATTTACTATTCCACTCAAAACTGCGATTAGGTTAGAAAAAAAAGAATATCGTCAATTAGTTTTTGGTTCTGTATTTTCTCTCTCGAATCAATCTTTGTGAATTTCTTGTAAAAGAAAAAAAAACATTTTAAAAGCGGCTTTTGCATAATCTTTCACATCCGAAACTAACTAGGTTTGCAGGAATCGATTGCCAACTGTTTTGGAGTGGCTTTGTTAGCTTCAAAGTTCATTATCTTAACGTCGTCATAAAATACGCTACTAGGAACAGAGCCATCACACTTCACGTAAATAATCATGAATGCGTCCTCTTGCCCTGTCGCTGGTGTGAAATCTAGCAGTAACACAATGTTAGTCCGAGGATATTTCAGTTGAACAATTCTTGGCTCGCCTAAGAGGATGTTCTTGATGTCAAAAATGTCATGTGTTCCGGTATCAATAGGAGCAATTGGTATGCTACATATGTCATACAGAATAGATGGCATTTCAGTCTCAAATTCGCCGAAATTATCGTACTGCTTGACGTAATCTTCGGAAGTCGCCGCCAGGAGAAGCTCGCTTCTTTTCGTCCTCGAGGTCATTCCGATAGAGTAAACAACAATTCCATCAGCCTAAAATGCAGTGAAAATATGATATTTTTCTGGTCCATGAGCTGGGAAAAATTCGTTATCTAACAGTTATAACAGTCTAAAAACTTTCGGTTAATAGAACTGCTAATCATTTTCGGAAAACAGAGATATAAACCTCGATCTCCGTTTTTTTAGGTTGGAAAATTAGCTGACACCTCTTCTCAGGCTTTCTTTTGGTTCCGATATGGCAAACTGTTTTCAGCTTGTTTTTGAAAAGAACCAGTTTTAGTGACCAGTCACACCAGCTCAGTTTAACTGAGAAACGAAGTGCGACCTTACCGGCATCCAGTTTCAAGCTTTAATAATTGATTACAATATGGTTTTAATACCAGTCTTACGAAATTAAGAAAAAATTGATTTCAATCAGTTAATAACCTATGATAATCTCTCTTTTTGAAATCAAATATAATCGATTATTTTTATCCAAATATCCAATTTATTTATTTTGCAGAAAAATCCATTATAATCAACTATAATTGATTATAATCCCTGTGTTTGCCCATTTTGTTTTCGACCTTTTACCTGAATTGCTAATTTTTTTTAATTTTTGTAGAGGTTTGTTTTTGTGAAAAATGGGAAACCTGTTTCAACTGTATTCAAATCAATTCAAATTTATTAAGTTTTTTTTTTCATTTCTTCTTGATTGTAGTTGTTTCATGATGCACATTTTAATTTTTTGACTACCAAAAAATCAGCACACTGCTTTAGTTTCATGATTTATATAGAAGAGTTATATTTCACCTACCGCAGGATTCTTTCAACTAATGTGAAAAGATCTCTATGAAACTTTTGTTTTGTGGTAAGACTTTGTGTTCAGATGAGCCAAAGAGTGACAAGACTTTTAAAGATTTTTGACAGAAAAGGATTATAATCGATTATAAATAAAAATATATTAGAAGAGATCATAAGAGACTATAAAAGAATAAAAAAGATTATAAAAAATTATAAGAGATTATAAGAAATTTTCGGAAAAATTATAATCAGTTATAATTGGATATAACTTATTATAATGTCAAGAAAAACGCGTTATCAAAATAATAGATTATGAATTTTTAAACACCTAAATTTAACGCTTATGATTGATTATAATTTTGATAAAGGTACAATTAGAATTGCAATATAATCGATTAATTTCTCTTTTAAGTGAGTGCGGGTAGAGCTTCTTTTCTTTTTTTTGTAATAAACCCGTAATTTTCGTTTTTTTTGTAATAAGCTCTCACTTATCGCAATGAAGAAGTTATCAAGAAGTTAACAACCCAAAACTTCTGTAAAAGAGCTGGATGTTAAGAGCAGGGCTGGGTAAAAATATATTGTTTTGCATTAGTATTTAATGTTTTGCGCTGTTTTAGGACATTCCTGGAAAACTTTTGCAAAACCCAAAATTTCAGACATCAATTTTTGCACTAAAATTATTGCAAACAAAAACCTACAGCGCAATACTTTCCAGGACTCGTTGGTGACGTAATAACCCAGCGGAGCGCACACCAGGTTATGTTCTTATGTAAATAACTACAAAGAGTGTTGTTTACTCTGTTTCAGTAAACTGCTGGCCTGTTTATAAATACGTTACGAGCAAACCCTTATCTTATCCACCACGTCTCTGATCCGATCGTGGGCTCTTGTTGTTCCGACTTTTGTAAAGAAAGTAACGGAATATTTGTGCAAGGGGTGAGGTTTTTTTCTTCAGACAAATTTCGATTTTTTGATTAACCATTTTTTCAATAACACTCGAAAGCTATTGTTGTCCTGAGCTTAAATTTGAAAAAAATTTAACCTGTGACCAATTTTCAAAAAAATATGGGGGCTTAAGGATTGCCATTTTGGCCAATTTGGGACTAGTAACGCAATGTATATTTTGCACTATTAAAGCGTAAGCGGAGATTTACTCAGTCTTAGAATTTTTTCCAAATTGGTCCAAGAAAGCCTATATGCCATAATTGATTAGTAAATGGATCTGTCAAAATCGATTACTTTGTACTAAATATGGCATGTGGGGGGAAGTTTTAACAAAAAATTTGAACATTTAAAAAAAAAATTTAATTTTTATTTGTTACATTTAAACTTTTCATGTTATCACTGCTCCATAGACATGAAACGGCAGTCAGAAAATTCAGGACTTCGCCATCAACATCAATTGCAGAAACCAATTTGTCGAAGAAACTTCGACTAGATGAGCATGAGTGTGCATTGAACTAACACCCGTCAACAACTAGAGTTGTAGAACGAATAGTTAGCCCGGCAAAATTAACCCTAGTAGAAAGATTGTTAATCAGGTGAGCCATACATAACCGGTACACTTAAGATTTTGCCAATTCGAGCGCGAAAAAGAACTTGTTCAGACATGATCAAATTCGTTTACCCGAGAGTTAAAGTTTTGTAACCCTGCCGCAAAACGATGGTTTTAAAAGGATGGTTTTCGATGCAAGTATTAATTTCATTAACAAGACGCAAAACTATAATGTTTTTTTTTTGGTTGAAATTCAATGCAGCTGGCTATGTCATTGCGCGTCATTGTAGGATTTAATTTAAAAACTAAACTGATTCCAGAATATTCTGCTTTTTTATTATTTCTTTTTCCTACAGTAGTGTATTCTGATCAGTTGGTAAAATTGAAACTAAGTTATTGCGAAGGCTATAAAACTTGAAAACATAATTAAAACCGTTTCGGTATAACACGGATTTGTATATCTCTTCCCATCAATAAAAACAAAACGCCTCAGAACACGGTACCAGTGCAAATAATTTCTGATTCGAAATCAAAACAAGCCGCTTCTAAAGTAAAAGTAAACTACTGAATCCATGCTAAGGTTGTTTGTATCCCCAAAACGCAGTAGACCCAAAATACAAGCAGATTTCCCCAGACTGCAGGAGAGAGAAAGCTGAAAAAATTGAGACTTAAACAAATCATTGCAAGTGTCGGTCGCGAAACAAAGAACGAGAGAGTGTTTTTCAGCTGCTGAAACAACTGGTCTGCAAAACTTGATTTTTGTTTATTTTCTGTGTTTTTGTTTATCAGGGTAAACTTTAAACGCCCTTTGAGCCACATGATTGGTAATCGTAAAACTTAACCAGAAGTTAACCGTTGAGCCATTGCTCTCATCGAAAGAACTTTTAAGGAATCGGATTCAAATTTGTTATTTTCACAGAGCTAGTAGAAAACGAGAAATTTATCAGTGAAAGCTTTCAGTGGAAAGCTCGCAAAATTTTAATCCTTGCTCCTGAACAGTTTCTAGACTTCAGATTTTACGAATCTCAGTTCATATAAAAATTATTTCGATGATTTTCGTTCCAATTTTTGAAGAAAACACTGAAAAGTCAGGCATTGTTTTATTTACTGAGTTTTTGATATGTGCAATTTTGAAATGAAGATATACTTCTTGTTTGGTACAATCCAAAAATGTTCAAGCTGAGAAAAAAAAATCAACAGTGAATTTAGATTAGGGTTGGTGTCTTAATTATTATACAAACGCAAGCGTGGGTTAAAAATGATTAATAGCTTGTTTTCTTTTTTGTTTATATTACTCAGTCCTGTTAAGGAAATCATTAGTAATACTTAGTGGTTTGACTATTTCGCTTCAAGTAGATACATATGCCTAAACTTCTTTCTTAAACACCTACGTTTTCATACATTTGGATTAAAGGGACAAAGTTTAACGGGTATATATGCAAAATGTTTATAAG